TCTTGGGTTTGGATTTGTGCTCTTAACATTTTTCTTTCGCACGTCCGTTTGAAAGTTACGAAAAAAACCATCAACAAAGACAAATTGCATGGTAAGTGACACCAAAACTTCAGTCAACTGAATCACAAATCTATCTCATTCATCACCAAAAACAATCAATTTCAAGATATTCGTGGGGTCTGACTACTCATAGCTGTTTTTAAACTCAAATTTCATCCGTTGAAGCCAATTTTAGACGATATTACCACAAATTGACCCATACATAATAAATCAAAATTATTACTCAGTTAACCATAATAATCAAATATTTCAGCCATGTCTGTTAACCAACAAGAAAACAACAAACGATCTTTCAATGATATGAAAGTTGGAATACCCGTCAATGGGATCCCAGTTAATGGTACTCGTGGTCAATTTGCACAACAACAAGCTGTCGCTGCTGCTCAAGCTCAAGCTCAACATCGTTCATCTCCATTAGCTCAACAACAACGTCAACAACATCAATTAAATGGTAATACTCATAGTCTGAGAAGCCCCGTTCAAAGAAGAAATTATAAATTTGCAGAAACTACACAAGATTTATTGAAAAAATATGAAAATGCTGAACCAAGTCTTGAGTTTCACATACATGAAAATCATTATAGGTTTGGGAATCAAGATGGTAACATATCCAAGAATAGTCAACTGGTTAAAGATTTTTTAGAATATGTTGCAAGAGAAGAGATACCGCATGCTATCGTGGAAGTTTTGAGAGATGCTGGTATAAGGTTTTATGAAGGTTGTATTATACTCAGGATTTATGATCATAGAAATTCAATAGAGAAAGAAATCATCAATGAAACTACAAAACAAAAAGAAACCAAAAAAATACCAAGATCTTTTAAAACATTACTAAAGCCTACTCAATTATCATTATTTTATGATTTACTATATCAAACAGATTCTGCTTTACAAAGGTTTAGTGATCATTTGGGTATATCAATGGAATCTGAAATTCTAACATTAACAAAGAGAAATCTTGATTTAAGCGTACCTTTAAATCCATATAATTTATCTTCTGAACTAAGGCCAAAATCTGAATATCCAAAAATTAATAAAGAAACTGGTGAAGTGATACATAATCATAGATTAGAATCTACAGATCCAAATTCAAAAGCTTTCAAGCCATTCAAAGACTTACATGATGATTTACCACAACAAAACTCCGAATATGAACAATTCATGTTGATCATGAATGATAGAGGTCATGGATCATTAGGTGATACAGGTAGTGATCCAAGTCAATTTACAAGATTAAGATTTGTTGAACAATATAGATTGAAGAAGGAAAAAATGAAACAACAAACAATGTCTGCAAATTTAACAAGTCGACCATTTGGTTCAAATAGTGGTAGTTTAACACCTGGTCAACAACAACAGTTACAACAACAACGTTTATTACAATTACAACAACAACAAAGAATGCAAGGAATGAGTCCATTACAACAACAACAACATTTATTAAATCAACAAAAAACCTTGGCTCAGCAACAATTACAACAACAACAATCACAAGGGAAACAATCACAAGGAAATCAAAGTGGTAAACAAGAAAATGTTGACGAAGATGGTAAGAAAGTTAAAAAACCTAAGAAACCAACAAAAAAACAACAAGCAGCAGCAGCAGCAGCAGGGAAAACTTTACCTGGATATTCTGGGAAGACTCTGCCAGGTGAAGAACAACAACCAGCACCAAAAAAAAAAAGAGGATCATATAAAAAGAAGAATAAAGATCCAAATGCTGCAAATAATAAGAGTTGATATGACAATTATTTGGGCATCTTATATATAAATGAATCTAATGTTTTAATGTATTTTTGAACTTCTCGTAAGTTGTGTATACACCAATGAAAACTGTGATCATAAGTAGACTTCTAACACGTAACTAAATAATCATTTATTCATATATATAAATAGCGCCGTTGGAACATAATGCATTACTTTCATGACATATAAGATCAAATTTCTAATAATCACATAATTAAATCAAATTCTAAAATTAATACATATAATCATATTGTTCATTCTCTATCAACAATAGCCTTAATCAAAGCAAAAATTCCTTCTCTATCTTGTTCTTCATGAACCCAAAACCCAAAGATTTCACCTTCTAAATTCTTTATAATGATATAATCAGTTTGATATTCAGTTTTAATTTCTGATAAACCTAAAGTCCTACTATCATTTTTAGATAATAAACCTAAACTAAAGTTTTCAGGTGTATTTCTATTCATTATGATTATCCCATGATCATAAATATCATCAACATCGGTATCATCTTCTGATTTTTTTCTTGTATAAACAGCCATAACACCTTGATAATCTGTTTGTTCCCAATCTTGTGAATCATTAAATTTATAAACCACACAATGGGAAGTATGATATAATAAACGATCAATTTTTGGATCATAACGCCCAATGACATTGAATGTTAAAGTCTTGGTATATAAACTAAACTCATTATCTATGACTGTTTCTGGAGCTGGTGGAGTTGGTGTTTGTGTTGTTGTTGTACTTGGTATTTGAGACATGTTTTGTGAATTGTGAAAGGTATGTGAAACGCTTGTGTTTGTTTTGTGGTTTATTTCAATTTATTTTATGCTTCTGTTTAATCTATTTCTGATGGCAAATTTATAACAGTGAACATATAATTTCCATTTGGTGTCAAATTTCCAGATCTCTGTCTTATATAACAAAATCACTTCATGGAAGTCATCACTAGAATTCGCGGAAAAGTGAATTTAAGTAGTGGTGTTCGGGTTTTAAAGCATAATAATATCTCATTTACCCGGTGTTGATTTGGAAATTGGCACTAGTTTATAACTAAATTGTAAGCTAAAATCCAATCACAGTGGTTTATGATAATCTTGTTCAAAGTATGATTGTGTCATCGTGAAATTTTGGATTTGATGTTAGTGGATTGTTTGATCTTTATCACAAGTTGTGGAGATTAGCGATACAAAAGGCCTGCCTGAAACTGTCATATACACGATTGAACATTCTAGAAATTTGCAGGTTTATGTATGGTATATATTCAGCTAATCATGACTGCTAATATAGCCTCCAATTACCCGGGAGCTGCTATAAAACCGAACTGATTTGATTTCACTATTATCAGTACTTTACTATCGATATTTAAACTTCCAGATATTCAATATACAATATAATAGCCTCAATGCGTAGACGAAGTCACTAAAACCCGACTGATTGATTGATACGTACAAACTACTAATGATATATAGTCAATTGATCAACAAATTATAGGTCATATATTTGTATTATAGTTAAAACTTATAAGCCCACGCTTTCACCAGGAAAACTCATGATTTAGATTTTTTTCAAGATTTCTTCAGCTTTAGTAATATCTAAACCAAAGTTATCAGGTTCAACAATTTGTTCTTTAACTTTACCATCTTCAACAATCAAAACAAATCTTTTGTTTCTAATGTTACCAAAGAATGGAGTAGCATCGATAGATAAATCAGCAGCTTTTGCGAATTCAGCTTCTGGATCAGCAATGAAACGAACCTAATGAGACATAATTGTTAGTATCTTTAATTACTCAATAAAGTTGAAGTTATACATACATTACTACCTTCACCAAGTTGATCAGCCCAAGCTTTTGTAACAAAGGCATCGTTAACAGTGGAAACGAAAACATTGTAATTTTTGTTGGTGAATTCTTTCAAGTTTTGAACATAACCTGGAACATGACTAGCTGAACAAGCTGGAGAGAAAGCACCTGGAACACCAACAATGATACTTTTACCCTTTGAAAAGTGTTAGTAGAGACTTAATGTCAATTGAAAATGCTTGTAAATACATACTGATTTGGTCAATTCAGCTAAATCAACTTCATTACCTGGAGAACCTTCTCTTAAAGAACCAACAGATGGGATAGAATCACCAACTTGAAGGAAAGAAGCAGCAGAGGTTTTGAAAGTACGAGCAGCAGTGAATCTTGGGGCTCTTAATAAAGTGGAACGGAATTGGGACAACATTTTTGATTTTTTAATTGAGTATTCGATTCAATTGAGTTGAATTTATAAAGTTTTGTGAATTGAATTGAAAGAAGGAAGCAAGGATTTCGGTTTCTTCACCTTGGAAATTCACGAATGTATATGAAAAAAAAAATAGTTACAAAATTACAAACTGTGAAAGAGCGGAGTCCATGATTAATCAATGATTCGTTTCTTCAAGAGATTCAATTCAACTAGTTCGATCAATGAAGCTAAACAATGGCTAGGAAGTCTAGATCCTCAAAAGATACCCAGAAATGAATTTAAAATTACATTTAGTAGATCTTCAGGTCCTGGAGGTCAAAAAGTTAATAAAAGTGAGTATTAATGATCTACTCTATGAATACTACGTATAATTATACTAATGAGGTTTGTCAAAAGCCAGTTCTAAGGCTACAATCCAACTTAATGATTTAGATCTTGCAATTTGGATCCCTAAAGAAATCAAAACACAATTGAAATATAATAATTTCAGATATTTAACTAAAACAAATGGGTTAGTTATTCAAGATGATACACAAAGATCAAGAGAATTAAATACAGATCGATGTTTTATTAAATTAGTTGAAGAAATCAGAAAGACTGTTTACTTTGAGAATGAAGCAAGTCCAGAAGATAAAAAAAGATGGGAATCTATAAGGAAAGTTTCAAATGAAAAAAGAATTCAAGAAAAGAAAAAGAATTCTGAAAAACGTAAATTACGGAAAGAGAAATTTTGATACATATACAAGTATTGAAAATTATCTTGGTTTTGTTCTATCATGTATTTATCTGTATAATTATTCTTGTTTATTTATATGATGATTATGTTAATGATTTACCCTTTTGTAACCAAAAATCTCTTCTTTCATCTCTAGTCAAACTTGAATTTGAATTTTTCTTCTTTATCTTATTGTTTAATTTTTCATCATTACTTGAATCATCATCTTCATCTTCTAATCCCATTAATTTATCCACATTAGGCTTTGGTTTGTTAGTTTTGGATTCTTTAGTTTTTAAAGGAACAAAATCATCATCAGATGAAAGATCTTGTTCAGAAAAATATACTTTACTTTTTGATACAATACTTGCACCATCATCATTTAATGCTTCATTAATAACTAAACTTCTTTCATCATTAAAATCTCTTGCTGCACCTTTATATCTAACAACATTACCCAATATAGATTTCCCAATTCTTTGTTTATAAGTTGCTGTATCTAAATCATAACATCCATTAGTTAATAATTCATAAGCACCTGCAAATGCCTTTTTAATATCTCTAATGTTAAAAGAACCTCTACTTATATTATTTGAAGGATCTGAAGGATCTTGAATAGATAATGCAAATGATGAACGACCTTGTAAATCTGGATAATATTTTTTATTTAAATAACAAACATTATCAGGTTCAACACAAATTGCAACATTATCATAACCAAAATTTTTACCATATAATTCAAAAAATTCAATTAATAGCACACCTAAATTTTCATAAGGTGATATATTACCAGTTGATAATCTTGGATGTAAAATTAAAAATGAATAAACAAGACAAATAATTGAATAGCCACCAAGACCACCAACATGAACATTATTTAATTTTCTTGACGATAAAAATTGTTTAACAATTAATACAATTTCTCTTAACCCTGGAGTTTCAGTGATCCAAGACCGTATAGTTTTAGCAGCATCAATACCATTAGTTCTTTCAAATGAAACATCAATATGAATATTTGAAGTAGATTCAGTAAATTTAATAATTGGAACTTTTGCTTTTGCAATAACTTCGACATTTTTAGCTAAATTTTTTCTTTTTAAAAATGAAGATAATGAATAAAGAGAATTTCTTGATTCATAACCACCATGTTCTGAAACAATAACCATATCAATATCAGAACCTGGTAAATAAAGATCTGTTGCATAAGATCCAAAAACATGAACTTCACAATCTGGCCATAATTCCATAATAGCTTCTCGAAGTTTCCGTACAGTATTATTTCTTAATTCAATTTCTTCTTTTGATGGAGAAATATATGCAATAAAATCTTTAATTTCTAAAGTTAACCAATCAGCAATTTCTTTTTGAGTTGAATGATCATGATTTTTAATCCATGGAACATCATTTTTTATTTTTGTACCTCCAATATTTGGATTTGATTCATCATCATCCATTGAATATGCATCTTCTTCATTATCTAATTCACTTTGTTCATCATCTTGATCATCTGAATCTGAAAAATTTAATGAAATGAAATCATTATTATCATCAAGATCATTACCTGTTTTGATTGTTGTGTTTGTTTCTTCTTCTTCTTGGGGTTCTTGTTCTTTGGGTATCACTTCTTTAACTGATTCTCCATTTTGTTTGGTTTCATAATCAGCATCACTATCATCATCCACTAGTACAACATTATTAGAATCATTATTATAATCATCAACTAAATCCACACTTTGTTTAATTTTTTTACGATCTCTTTCATCCTCATCATCTTGGTCATCATATTGATCTTCATCATCTTCATAATCTTCATTCCCATTTTCTAACTCATCTAAAGTTTCATATTGATTTTCATAATTTTTATTATTGAATACATCAAATGATCTTTTTAATTTATTACTTGAATTTTTGATAAATTTTCCAAATTTTCCAGATTTGGTGTTTGATTCTTTTGAAACCTGTTTAGCAGAGTTTCCCATGATGTATGAATTCTTTGTCTAATAGTAGAGTATCTATTCTACTTTTATTTGATATCTATTTACTCTTCATCATATAAATTTCAAATTTTTTTGCAGTGAGCCGCTGAAAGTCAAAAAGAATTCGCGAAGTAAATAATCTGGTTCGGGGACTACACATATAACCTTTTACAAAACAAATAAATTTCAAATTAGCTGACAAAAAAACACAATTAAATAGCAAGTATTATATATAGAAATTAGTTATTATTATGATGGTATTCATATTCGTTAGATTTAAAGGATCATTTCCCTTTTTTTTGTGAGTTCTTAGGATATTAATATATTACATGTTTTTCCAACCACCATTAAAATCATGTTTAACATAATTTAAATCATCATTTGGTTTAAATTCCATAACATCATTATAAGCATTGAAAGTATTCATTGGCATTATTAGCACATCATCATAAAGCACAGGTTTAGAAATCTTGGTGAAATTTGTCCAACCAATGAATTTCCCATCTTCAATATTTATAGAATTTCTTTCTTTATGATAATGTTCAAATTCTTTATTTTTAATAATTGGTTTTGGATTATTATTAATAAATTTAAATTTTGAAAAAATTTTATTAAAATGTTTAAAAATTGAATCAGTGAAAATTCCAGGACCTGTCCAATTTAATATAGTGAAAATTGAATGTAATGTATGATATTCACGATCAATCTTAACATGATTTAATCTTTGATCAAATTTATTTAATGTTGTATCCACAATTGAATAGATTAGTTCTCTTAGAATTGGGTGACCAGGTTTTGATTTAAAAGTCCATTGACAAAATTGAACACGACGTGCCATTTTATATTTCCAATCTGGTAAATCAAAATCACCTTCAATACCAACAATAAATCCAATATTTGGAAATTCATTCAAATTGTTAGTTGATGATGGCATGTCTAATGATTTAATTAATGCTTTTGGATTATTATCGATCCAATCATCTAAAGATTTTAAATTTGAAGTATCAATATCAGAATAAATCCCACCTTTAGCAAAAATGATTAAATATCTTAGGAAATCAAATTTAAGGATATTTTTAGGTAATGTTTCAAAAGTTTGTAAGATCTCTGGGAAATCTCCATATAATTCCATAATTATAGATTGAATTTGATCATCAGTTATTAAATTATATTCATAACCAGATTGATCTGACCAAGATTTGATATATTTTAATAAATTTTTATTTGAGATTTGGTCAATTGGTTCTTTCCATGATTGCCAAATAATTTTTGGTATTGAATTTGAATTTCTATTATAAGGATATTTTTGTGATAATTTCAATCTTAAATCATTTGGTGAATATTCTTCAACATAATCTTGAAATGAATCATTTGATATTGATTGTTGTAATTGTTGTTGTTGTTTATTGAAAACGGAAGTTACGGTACCAGTTATATGAGTAGGATAGAAATAACACAATCCAACAAGGAAACTTAGCAGCAAACTAGTGGATACCAACAAGGCAACTGTTCTTTTCTTTGAATACCGTATTGATCCAGTTCTTATCTTGTGTAAAAGTCCAATGTTTTTCAATTTTGATGTTGAAGATTCCTCATGATGTTCATATTGATTTATATTAATTGAAGAGCTCTTTTCCCAAGAAGACTGGCTCTGATTTTCCAGATCGTCCTGGGAGTGGTTGTTCTTTCTGTAATAGATCACCTTGACTATGAGCCCACTGGCCAGTGTTTACCCTTGAGCTCTTTCTACAAAGTGAATAAAAGTTCAAGTATAAAAGAATCAAATGGAAATATTTTCATTTTGGGGTTGCAAAGATCTTTTCTGTACGAAATAAACATTTCCGAAGATTTGCAACGCACTGATTTACACGGATACGGACAGAGAATTAGGCAGAGTGTCCGTCTAGGAGTTAGGGAGAAGCTTCAAGCTAGGCAGAAGTAAGCCGGTGTTTACACTTTACTGATTGGAGCATCGAGCATAACGGTTAATTGACACAACACACAACACAACAAAGAACAACAACAGTGAAGGTAAACCGTAGAATAAGATACTCAGAATACTACAGGTCTCAATGATATATAATCTTCTCAAATATCAACTCTTCAGGCATTTAAATCAGCTTGTATATGTTGTGTTTTGATTTTATATGTGTGTATTACATTTCAAGTACACGGATGACATAATCTCGAGATGAGCTTCATAAAAAAATTTTAGACATCACTATAAAGAAATTAAACTATGTGTATAACAAAAAGTATTGTTTTTACTCTACAGAACCACTTCAAATATTAAAGATGAGTAGTAGTGCTGAAGAAGAAGATTTCGATATTGCTGGTAACATTGCCCTTGATGGCTCAGAATCTGAAGACTATTCAAGTGATGATAACTCTGATGTGGAGGTTCAAGATGAAATTATAGATAGTGATGATGAACAAGAATCTAATAATAAAAGACAAAAAAAAGATACAAAACTTATAACTACTACTACTACTCCTAAACAAAAGGGTAAAGACCTTTCAAATGCTTTCCCTTCATTAGAATTATCAGATGATGAAACTTCAAAAGAAAAAGCTAAAGAAGATGTTGATTTTGCAAATTATTTTAATATTAAACCTGAAACAAATAAAGCTAAAGCTGGTTCATTTGCTAGTTTTGGTTTATCAAAATTTATATTAAATAATATCTCCAAGAAAGGTTTTAAACAACCAACTCCAATTCAAAGAAAAACTATACCTTTAATCTTACAAAATAGAGATATTGTTGGTATGGCTAGAACTGGGTCTGGTAAAACTGCTGCTTTTTCTTTACCTTTAGTTGAAAGATTAAAAATCCATTCTGCAAAAGTTGGTGCTAGAGCTATTGTGCTTTCACCATCAAGAGAATTAGCTATTCAAACTTATAAAGTTATTAAAGAATTTTCAAGAGGTACAGATTTAAGAAGTGTATTATTAATTGGTGGTGATTCTCTTGAAGATCAATTCTCTTTAATGATGTCAAATCCTGATATTGTTATTGCTACTCCTGGTAGATTTTTACATTTAAAAGTTGAAATGCAATTAGATTTGAAAACTGTTGAATATGTTGTTTTCGATGAAGCTGATAGATTATTCGAAATGGGGTTTGAAGAACAATTAAATGAATTATTAAGCGCCTTACCACCAAATAGACAATCTTTATTATTCTCTGCTACTTTACCAAGATCTTTAGTTGATTTTGCTAAAGCTGGTTTAACAAACCCTGTATTGGTTAGATTAGATGCTGAAAGTAAAATTTCTGATCAATTAGAAATGGCATTTATTTCATCCAAAAATGGGGAAAGAGAAGGTAATTTATTAAATATTTTACAAGATGTCATTAAAATTCCATTAGCTACTCCAGAAGAATTGAAAAAACTAGATGCTATTAATAAAGAACCAGATTCTGATGATTCTGATCAAGATGATCAAGATGATAAAAAAGATCGTAAAAGAAAAAGAAAACATTTTAAAAAACCAAGATTACCACCTGCAAATCAATTACCATCAATTCATTCAACAATTATTTTCGTTCCAACAAGACATCATGTTGAATATGTTACAACTTTATTAAAAGATACCGGTTATGCAGTTTCTTATATTTATGGTACTTTAGATCAACATGCAAGAAAAAGACAATTATTAAATTTTAGAGCTGGGTTATCACCAATCTTGGTTGTTACAGATGTTGCAGCTAGAGGTATTGATATTCCAGTTTTAGCAAATGTTATTAATTATTCATTACCTGGTTCCTCAAAAATTTTCGTTCATCGTGTTGGTAGAACTGCAAGAGCTGGTAATAAAGGTTGGGCTTATAGTATTGTTTCTGAAAATGAATTACCATATTTATTAGACTTAGAATTATTTTTGGGTAAAAAAATCTTATTAACACCAATGCATGAAAAAAAATGTGAAATTTTAAAAGAACAACAAGGTGATTCTTATGTTGAACCAAAAATTTCTTATACTGAAAGAATGGTTTTAGGTCAAGCTCCAAGAATTAATGTTGAAAGTATGACTGAATTATTTAATAATATTTTATCTAATGATTATGATTTGAAAGTTTTACAAGGTGTTTCTACAAAAGCTGAAAAATTATATTTTAAAACAAGAACTGCTGCATCAATTGAATCTGTTAAAAGAGCTAAAGAAGTTAAACATAGTGGATGGGATGAACAAAATTTATTATTTGGTAAAAATCTTGAAAAAGAAAAGATTGATTTTTTGGCTAAATTACAAAATAGAAGACATAAAGAAACTGTTTTTGAATTTGGTAAAAGAGATGATAGTTTAGTTGATTTAATGAATACTAGAAGAAGACAAATTGCTCCAGTACAGAGAAGAGCCAAGGAAAGACAAGAATTATTAGAAAAAGAAAGACTTGCAGGGTTAACTCATGGTATTGAAGATGAAATTTTAAAAGGTGATGATAATGAAGTTGGTTATAGTGTTAATGATAAAGTTTTAGAAGATGAATTTGAAACTGCTGAACAATTATTAGAGAAAAAGAAAGAGAAGAAATCATTTAGAGATCCAAATTTTTATATGAGTCATTATGCTCCAAGTTCTGTTATCCAAGATCAACAATTAAACTTAAACAATGGATTTACTAATGATGCACAAAAGGCAACATTTGATTTAAATAATGATGATAATATGCAAGTTAATAAACAAACTCAAACCATGCAATGGGATAAAAAAGCTGGTAAATATGTTAATTCTAAATCAACTGATAAGAAATATATCATTGGTGAAAGTGGTCAAAGATTACCAGCTTCATTTAGATCTGGTAGATTTGATGCATGGAAAAAGGGTAAGAAGATTGAAGGCTTAAAAGTTGGTTCAAGAGAAACTGTTAATGAATTCACTGGTGTTAATAATAAATCCATTGGTAGTGGTGGTGGTAGAAAATTCAACCATAAGAAAGTTCAAGCACCAAGAGCACCAGATAAAAAGAGAGATGATTATCATAAACAAAAGAAGAAGGTTGAAAATGCTCTTGAAAAAGGTGTTCATGTTAAAGGATTCCAAAGAAAAGGTCAAGGATCTAATGAAATTAAATCTACTGAACAAATTAGAAAAGCTAGAGAACTTAAAGAAAAACGTCGTGAAAAGAATGCTCGTCCTTCCAAGAACTCTAAAGGTAAGAGAAGATGATCTGTATAAACTAATTCCAATCAAATACAAATTATGTATCTTTATGTTTGAATAAGTTCATAATCGTAAAATCCAAATGCAGCAATTACGGGCAAATTTTCGCGATCGATCACCGGTTCTCGATTTGACTTTTTGCGATTCCTGAAACGCTTCACCCTTGAAAGATTGCAAGGTTTTCTCTGATTTTAACAGGAACTTAGCAATTGACAAGTTTTGAGAGTTTAACAAGTATTGATTTTAATCAAATTGGATTAATTGAGCTGAATTAGATCGATAACTGCCTTTTTTTCAGCGTTTTTAAAGTCAAATTTCAAGGTTTGAAGGGAATTTTGACGAACGGACAAAAACATTACAAGGATAGAAAGACACACCTTAAGGGAAACTTGAATTCACAAACTATAAAGTAGGAATATATTCAATTGAGGGTAATCAAATTTCTACTATTATACTCCATTGAATAAAATTTGATCAAATTTAGGTCTTCAAGAGGTCATCACGTTGTATGACACCAAATATACTAAAGAAGCTCCACATCACTGGTAATAATAACAAGTCAAACACAACAAGCACTAATCAACAACCTTACCAAAGTGAGAATATGGAGTATCAACCAATCCAAGGTCAAGGACAACCTCAATATCAACAACCTCAACCTCAACATGTTCAACAACAATTAAATGTCCCACAACAACAGCAACCTGGTGGGTATGGAGTTGCTCAAGTTCAACAACATGGTATTTCAAGAGAAACTTCACCAAATTTTGCTGCTAATGCTGAAACTCAAACTCAACAAATTCAAACACCTCATCAAAGTCAACCTCAAACCATACAACAACCAATTACTATTGAACAATCTTTATTACCTCAAAAATCAACCGTTTCAAAGGGGAAATATACTTTAAATGATTTCCAAATTATGAGAACTTTAGGGACTGGTTCATTTGGTAGAGTTCATTTAGTTCGTTCAGTTCATAATGGTAGATATTATGCTATTAAAGTTTTGAAAAAAGCTCAAATTATAAGAATGAAACAAATTGAACATACAAATGATGAAAGAAGAATGTTAAAAGTTGTTGAACATCCGTTTTTAATTAGAATGTGGGGGACGTTCCAAGATGCAAGAAATTTATTTATGGTTATGGATTATATTGAAGGTGGTGAATTATTTTCACTTTTAAGAAAATCTCAAAGATTTCCAAATCCTGTTGCTAAATTTTATGCAGCAGAAGTTACATTAGCTGTTGAATATTTACATGCTCATAATATTATTTATAGAGATTTAAAACCTGAAAATATATTATTAGATCGTAATGGACATGTTAAAATTACAGATTTTGGTTTTGCAAAAGAAGTTTCCACAGTTACTTGGACACTTTGTGGTACACCAGATTATATTGCACCAGAAGTTATTACAACAAAACCATATAATAAATCTGTTGATTGGTGGTCATTAGGTATTTTAATTTTTGAAATGCTTGCAGGTTATACACCATTTTATGATAGTACACCAATGAAGACATATCAAAAAATTTTAGCAGGTAAAGTACATTTCCCATCATTTTTCCATCAAGATGCAGTAGATCTTTTATCAAGATTAATTACAGCAGATTTAACTAGAAGATTAGGTAATTTACATAATGGTCCTTCAGATATTAGAAATCATCCATGGTTTGCTGAAGTTATTTGGGAAAAATTATTAGCTAAAGATATTGAAACACCTTATGAACCTCCAATCACTGGTGGTATTGGTGATACTTCATTATTTGACCATTATCCAGAAGAACAATTGGATTATGGTGCAGGTGGTGAAGATCCATATGCCCAATATTTTGTTGATTTTTAGTCAACTATAACTTTTATTCAATTATACTTTATAAATTCACTTCTTCAACATATACAAAATTAAATCCAATAGTTTACAATTCATTATATTTCACTTTTCAACTTTCTTGTCATGATAAACTGTTCAAATAATATAGTTCTTTTAATTTAGATTTTATTTGATTGAAATTGATTGTAGTAATGCCATTATTGGTTCTGTATGAAAATTACCGGTCAAGTAAGAAAAATGTTTAGGCGCACTTGAAAAATGTAAACAAATGATACATCACATCAACAAAAAATTAAGAGTAAATTGCAAAAAAATCTGACACAATTGAATCAAATTAGAAGGATTACACTCAAAAGACCATCACCATCGGATTCTACAGGATGAGTTTCTATAGTCAGTCGTCTCGGCCACCTACAAAATCGTCATACACCAGTACAAGTCAACATTCATTATCAAGATCCAATTCAAGTAGAGTTGTTTCAAGTTTGAATAGATCTAAAGAACTGCTTTCAGTGGAAGAAGAATTAAAAGAATTATTGAAAAATTCTCATTTCAATGATAAACAGAAATTGGCCTTTTGGGAAATGTTGGAATCAACTTTTGATCTTTTCCAATCTCCTTTACAAAATGGATATCAAAATGAATCATTAATTGATTCTTCATCATTGGAATTATATAGTAAAATGCAATCACTTGTTACTGCTTTATCATCATTGATCATGAATGAAGAAGAAGAATTGGTAAAGAATGAAAAATCTATAGGGAATAAATCTAATGATTCAACGGAATTTTCTGATGAAGAGAATGATAATAATAATAATAATTCAAATTTCTTCAATGAAGCTAAATCAACAACATTCCCTAAATCTGCATCTATATCAAACTTAAGAATTTCTTCCCAGAATAATAGTAGAAGATCATCAATAAATCATCCACTTCATAACAATTCTGAATCAAGAAGATCATCAATATATTTCAAAAATTCACCAAATTTACAACATACTCAATTACATTCTCCTCACCAATTTGAATCAAATCCATTATCATCAAGATCAAATTCAATACGGCAAAATGATAAATCATATCATGGATTAAAACAAGATCATGGTAATAATCATTTGAAAAATTCTTTCAAAGCTTTACAAACTCCAATTCCAAGATCATTTTCTGGTAGATCTGAAAGACCAAAATCTATGTATGTTGAAAATCAAACTCCACCATTACCTTCTTATTCATCACCATTAAGAAGTAATTATGATCAATTTAATCAAGAATTTGGATCTGAAACAAGTTTTGATAATACTGCAGGACAAAGATCAAATTTTGGTAGACGTGATTCAAATTTATCAAATATTTCATCAAGATCTGTTAATAAATCGAAAAGATATTCAATGAGATTTTAATACCCTTATGAGCATATATATATATGATTAAATACAATGAGACAATTTATGATTTATTTTCTTAAAAATCTTTATTTTAGTATTATGTACATGTGAATTTAATTATCGTTATAACCAGAGACCTTGGAATATAAAAACCTTTTTTCCATTTTCCAAAATTTCATTTAAAATTTATGAAATGCTTTATGTTTTGTTGACTTTATGTTTTTTATCTTATTTCAATATATTTTATATACATCTATTCAAGAACAACTTTAGCACCTAAAGCTTCTAAAGCAGCCTTTATTTTATCAGCATCTTCTTTAGCAACGTTATCTTTTAAAATTTTTGGAGCAGCTTCAACGAATTTTTTAGATTCAACTAATGATAAACCTAATAAACCTTTAACTTCTTTAATAATCTTTGGTTTAGATTTAGCATCAAAACTTTCTAATTTAATAGCAAAAATAGTTTGTTCTTCTTGTTCTTCTTCTTTTGGAGCTTCTTCTTCAACAGCAGCTGGAGCAGCAGCTGGAGCACCACCAGCAGCTGGGAATGCAATATCTGGGATGTTTAATTGTGTTTTCAATTCTGAAATTAAAGAAGCAGTCTCTAGTAGAGTTAATTTTGAGATTTCATTAACAATGTTTGAAATTTTTGGATCAACTGGAGCAGAGTTTGATTCAGCAGCTGGAGCAGCAGTGGAGTTTAAACGAACAGCTGCGTTTAAGACTGATCTTCTTGGTAAAGTGCGAGCAGCACGGAGGGAGCATCTGGCAACGGAGTACATAATGGATTGGGTTGTGGTGATGGTGATGTGAATATCCAATTGTTGATATTACCAACTGTGTTTTCAATTAATTGATATTTTGAAAAGTTTGAAAAAATCGTTGATGAAAAAAGTTATGCAGCGGTTTTAAAAACAACGTGTTTTGAGATTTGTGCACAGGTATAGTTGACTTTCACGAAAATGAAGAATTGGAAACTTGTGTTTTGGCAATTGATAACAGTGGAAAGACAGTCAGGTATCCAACAAGACTTCTCTTAGAGCTGTGCAAGATGACCTCCTTCAGATTCTGTGGTGAATGGTGAGTATTTCTGTGTTTTTCCTGGTGTTTTTAGGGTGAAATATGGATTGTTTTGCAATGAATTAGAACTAACAAATTAGTAACAATATGTTGTATCCTAAAGAGGACAAGGCCAACAACCAGTTGTTATTCGAGTGCAGAATTTGTAACTATGTGGAACATGCTGCTAGACCATTGGTGTACCGTCATGAACTTATCACAAACTATGGGTGAGTATTGATATATATTAGTATGATATTTTGTGTGTTTGATATTAACAATTATAGTGAAACTGCAGGTATTGTGCAAGATATTGGTTCTGATCCAACTCTACCGAGATCTGATAAGGAATGTCCAAGATGTCATGCCCATGAAAATGTGTTCTTCCAATCCCAACAAAGAAGAGCTGATACTTCTATGATTTTGTTTTATGTTTGTTTATCATGTTCACATACATTTAGAAGTGTATGAATTTGAAACCACCAAAGAAAATAAAAATGAATTTAAAAAGTGAATGGGATAAACTTTCATTGCCTAATATTTAGGATATGAGTTGATTGAAAATAATGATTACTGATTTACAATACATTCACAAATGACAATAATGCGTATATCTACAAATTTTGCTCAAGATCTAACGAAAACTACCCCCAAAATCCCACAAAAAATAAATAATATTGTACTATAGAATAATAGATGAAATTAATACCTATTGAACTATTGAATCGTAGAACGTTGTAATATTGTAACCTGATATATGGTTATTGGTAATATGTCACAGACTCTTCGGGCGCGATGCGTCAAATTAATTTTTGTTTACTTAAATTGTTCTTGATACATTAAACATTTTACAAATCCTAATAAACCAACTAATTATCTAGACAATTCTCAAATGGCTGAATTCCTAAAAGATATAGATCCAAGAATCATTGATCCTAAGGACCTAGATCCAAGAATCTCATATGATCAAACTGAAGACCAATGGTTATTTGAAGATCCTCAAACATTAGAAAGTTTCCAATTCAATGATGTTTTAGAAAGATGGTTACCAATTGAATCATTAAATGAAGATTTAAGTGATGCTCAAAAAGAATTACAAGAAAAGAAAAGACAAAAACTTCAAGAAGTAAAAGAAGCTAAACAAGCTAAATCAAAACAAAAAGTTTCTACTGCTGTTTATGTCTCGAATTTACCATTAGATACAGATGTTACTGAATTAAAAGAAATTTTCTCTAAATATGGTATTATAGCAGAGGATTTACTCACGGGGAAATCAAAGATCAAATTATATACAAATGAGCAAAATGAATTTAAAGGTGATGCTCTTGTGGTGTATCTTAAACCTGAAAGTGTTGAATTAGCTGTACAAATGTTGAATGAAACAAAATTACGTGTAAATGGAGATGTTATTTCAGTTCAAAAAGCAGAATTTAATCAATCCAAAACTGAAGATAATGAAAAGAAACACAAGAGACCTTTGACTGAAGAAGAAAAATCCATTATAAGGAAAAGGTTGAAAACTTTGAATGAAAAAGTTGATGATTGGAATGGTGAAGATGATCAAATTAATCCAAAATGGATAAGGACTGTGATAATTAAAAGAGCATTCACTTTAAAAGAATTAGAAGAAGACCCAGATGCATTGAAAGAAATAGAAGAAGATATGATGGAAGGTTGTGAAGAATTGGGTCAAGTGGAAAAAGTTATTGTATTTGATCAAGAAGAAGAAGGTGTTGTGATGGTTAGATTTTATAATAGTGAATCCGCAGTTAAATGCATTGATGTAAGTTAAAAGTGTCTTTTTATAACTTATGCCATAATAAATACTAACAACAATATAGAAAATGAATGGAAGATTCTTTGGAGGTCAAAAACTAGCAGTTACTAGATATAATGGTGAACATTATAATAAATCTGAACCCAAATCTAAAGACAAAACAGATAATACCCCCATCAGAATCCCCACAGGAGTCGAAGATAACGATGAAGAAGAAGAAAGGATCCAATCGTTTATTAAACATGTTGATGAAGAATAGATTTCAATTTATAATAAATATCCATATATTATGTTGTAATATCGTACCATTTATTTCCGAATTAGGAAGTCTAGAAAGATTTTTTATTGATTTTTATTGATTTTTTTTTCCAAAGCGAAAAAAATTGAAATCGTTGAAAATGAAAAGCGAAGAGCAGTGAAAAAGTAGACACATACAAATATTTGATTCTTTTAACAATTGAATTATCATTTAATTTTTAAAACTTGAAATGCCTCCAAAGAAACAAGTTGAAGAAAAAAAAGTCCTTTTAGGTCGTCCAGGTAACAATTTAAAATCTGGTATCGTTGGTTTAGCTAATGTTGGTAAATCAACTTTTTTCCAAGCTATTACTAGATGTCCTTTAGGTAACCCAGCTAATTATCCATATGCTACCATTGATCCAGAAGAAGCTAGAGTTATTGTCCCATCTCCAAGATTAGATAAATTAAATGAAATTTATAAACCAAAATCTTTAGTTCCAGCTCATATTACTGTTTATGATATTGCTGGTTTAACAAGAGGTTCATCAACTGGTGAAGGTTTAGGTAATTCTTTCTTGTCACATATCAGAGCCGTTGATGCTATTTATCAAGTTGTTCGTTGTTTCGATGATGCTGAAATTATTCATATTGAAGGTGATGTTAATCCATACCGTGATTTAGAAATTATTTCAAATGAATTAAGATTAAAAGATATTGAATTTTGTGAAAAACATTTAGAAGGTGTTCATAAAATTACTAAAAGAGGTGGTCAATCTTTAGAAGTTAAACAAAAAAAGGAAGAAGGTGAATTAGTTTTAAGAATTATAGAATTATTAAAAAATGGTCAAAGAGTTGCTAATCAAAATTGGACTCCAAAAGAAGTTGAAGTTATTAACACCATGTTCTTATTAACTGCTAAACCATCAATCTATTTAATCAACTTGTCTGAAAGAGATTACATCAGAAAGAAGAACAAACATTTATTAATGATTAAAGAATGGGTTGATAAATACTCTCCAGGTGATGTTATTATTCCATTCTCTGTTTCATTAGAAGAAAGATTATCACAAATGGAAACTGATGAAGAAAGAGCTGAAGAAGAAAAAAAAATTGGTGCTACTTCAATGTTACCAAAAATTATTACTACAATGAGACAAAAATTAGATTTAATTTCATTCTTTACCGCTGGTGCTGATGAATGTCGTGAATGGACTATTAGAAAAGGTACTAAAGCTCCACAAGCTGCTGGTGTTATTCATAATGATTTAATGAATACCTTCATTTTGGCTCAAGTTAACAAATATGAAGATATTATTGAATACAAAGATGAAGTTGCTCTTAAAGCCGCTGGTAAAATGTTACAAAAAGGTAAAGATTATGTTGTTGAAGATGGTGATGTTATCTACTTCAGAGCCGGTGCTGGTAAAAACTAGATCTTTTATATATCTATATTGTAACTTGTCTTTTGCATGAAATGAAGTAAAAGAGTTATTAAGTTAATATAATGATTCTTTTTGGATATATTTACAAAGTAATGTAGATTTTTACATCTAATTATAATCGTATTAAATATTGTACTATATACAAGCTTTCCAACATCATTATTTAAATATTTAACCAAAAATTGAACTCAAAAATCCACCTTCCTTTTTCTTTTCACGTTCAGCTTTTGGAATAAAAGCATCATATTGTTCTTTGATTTTCAATGGACCAGTTTCTTGATCATAATTTCTACCCATAGCATCAACAAATTCACCATCAGAATCCATTAAATAAAAGAAAATAGAATGATCAACTAAATAATCTTGACCTGGCTTAAGAGTTGGAGGAGTTGAAAAATAAACTCTATATTGTTTACAAATATTTTTAACTTGTTCATAAGTACCAGTTAATCCAATAATATCTGGATGGAAATCTTCTAAATATTCTTTAACAACTTTAGGGGTATCTCTATTAGGATCACAAGTTATGAAAATTGGTTGAACGTTAATATTTTGTGATTTTAATTTATTTAACCAAATACCTAATTTATCTAATTCATCAGGACAAATATCTGGACAATGAGTAAATCCAAAATATAAGATATTGAATTGACCTTTTAAATTTTCATTTGTAAACTTATTACCATTATGATCAATTAATTCAAATGGACCACCAACTAATGGTTTACCATAACCTCTATTAGCTTCAGCTTCTTGTTGAACTTTTAATTTTCTCTTCTCTTTTGTAAAGAAATAATAAATAACACCACCTGTAACAGCCATTAATAAACCAGCTTTCCAAGTAGCAAATTCCACACTACCAGATCCAACATTTTTTTGTGATTTTGTTTGAGTTCCACCAATAGGTATTCTACTTAAAGGTTTTCTCTTTGGTGCAGTTGATTGTGATTGTGATGGGGTTTGATCAGTATTTAATTTAGCCTTTTCTTCATTGAATCTTAAAAGAGAAGAGCCAAAGTTTCTTCTAGCAAGTAATGATGATGTCACCAATCTTTTTGAGCAAGTCGCTCTTACCATAGAATTTCTGAACATCTCCGAATATTCTTTTTTGAACTCAAGAGAACTGAAATCTAAAGATCCAATCTTTAACGAACCATTTATAATTTAATTTTCAAGTACTTGAGCAAATTCGCGAATCTTCGGCCTCTGCCAACTCACCGGGTCGATACTTACATAATCTACAAAAGGAGCAGTGTAACCATTTCCGCTTTGGGTCGCTTAGCCAAATTTCAATTTGTTTGCCTAAAACAGCCAAAAGTAAACATAAATAAACAAACTGCAAACAAAACAAAAATTTACAAGTGAAGCACAGCTCAGATTCAGAAAATGCGGTAGATTAGAACCACAAATCTGAAACTTTTCCTTCTTTTGAAACCTTCTTTTTGTTTTTTTAAAAACTATCAAAGCTCATTTAATCCAATTGAACCATTCTAATAACTCAAATCTATCAAAACAACAAGATTTATTAGAGAATGAGTGGTCCATTTGATTACAACAACTTCGGGCAGGACCCATCTAGACCTCAACCGGCTTTGACTAATGAATCTCCAAAGAAATATCAAAACACTGCTAATTTAGGTCAAAGTGAATTCAATGGCTTTCCTCAACAACAATCTTCAGCTGGAATCAAGTATTCACCAAGAGTTGACTTTGGTAGAAGACGTCAAAACAACACATCAACCGATGTTTATGGTACTCCATATGGATCTCCTGTCAAAGCGAATCCAATATTAAGCCCAGCAGGCTCTACAACTCCAAGAAAACACTATGCTGAATTGGAATCACCAAAAAGAAAGAAACAAAATGCAGTTATTGTTATTGATGATGAAAGTGATCAAGAAGATGATATCTTTGGTGCTTATCGAGCTGGTTCTCATGATATAAACCGCTCAGCAACTGGAAACTCTAACTCCACAGCTAGTTCATCAAGAATTTTACCACCTCCAAAACCTATCTTTTCAGCTACAACTTATGCTGCTGCTAATAATGGATATCAACCAGAAGCTGATTCTCCAATACAATACCCACAACACACCGATGAAAGAGTCAGTAGTGGTAGTACTATTTTATCAACTGAAAGTGATCCAAGAGATCCTTTTGCTAATGATCAAGAATTTAACCAAAAGGAATTTAATGAAAAATTAGAAATACAAGATTCAAATTATAGTGGTGCAACTTATGATTATGATTTTGAAAATGATAATGATGATCCATTAGCTGATGGTGATTCAAACAATGAATTTGACGAAGAATTTATGCAATATGAAGTTCCATTAGATGCCCAACCACGTCGTAACAGATCAACAATTCGTAAATCAGTTAATTCAGAAAATGGTAATTTGATCTTGGAAAATCCAGTTCCAACTAAATTAGCTTCATTCTTACATAGAAAAGATGAAGATGAATTTTTATTCATGAGATATTCAGCATGTACTTCTGAACCTGATGATTTTGTTGATGCTGGTTTTACTTTAAGAGCTGCTAAATTAAACAGAGAAATTGAATTATGTGTTTGTATCACCATGTACAATGAAAATGAAGTTCATTTAACACGTACTTTACATTCTGTTATGAAAAATGTTGCATATTTATGTCAAAGAAATAGAAGTAGAATTTGGGGTCCAGATGGATGGAAAAAGGTTCAAGTTGTTATTGTTAGTGATGGTAGAGCTAAAGTTAATGAAAATTCTTTAGATGTTTTAGCAGCTATGGGTGTTTATCAAGATGGTATTGCTAAATCTTATGTTAATAATAAAGAAGTTAAAGCTCATTTATTTGAATATACTACACAAGTTTCCTTAGATCCAGATTTAGAATTCAAGAGTGTTGAAAAGGGTATTGTACCAGTTCAAGTCTTATTCTGTTTGAAAGAACAAAACAAAAAGAAAATTAATTCACATCGTTGGTTATTCAATGCATTCTGTCCTGTATTAGATCCAAAAGTTGTTGTCTTGTTAGATGTTGGTACTAAACCAAATTTATCTGCATTATACCATTTATGGAAGGCATTTGATAAAGATTCTGATATTGCTGGTGCAGCTGGTGAAATTAAAGCTATTAAAGGTAAAGGTTGGAATAAATTATTAAATCCAATTGTTGCATCACAAAATTTTGAATATAAAATGTCAAATATTTTAGATAAACCATTAGAATCTTCATTTGGTTATATTTCAGTTTTACCAGGTGCTTTATCAGCTTATCGTTATAAAGCATTGAAAAATCATGATGATGGTACCGGTCCATTAAATTCATATTTTAAAGGTGAAAGTCTTGATGTTGGTCCAAATAAAGATGTTTTCTCAGCAAATATGTATTTAGCTGAAGATAGAATTTTATGTTGGGAATTAGTTGCTAAAAGAGATGAAAAATGGTTATTAAAATATGTTAAAGAAGCTCAAGGTGAAACAGATTTACCAGAAGCTGTACCAGAATTCATTTCACAAAGAAGAAGATGGTTAAATGGTGCTTTATTTGCTGCTATTTATTCACAATTACATTTTAGACAAATTTGGAAAACAAATCATTCATTTGGTAGAAAATTTGCTCTTCATATTGAATTTTTCTATCAATTTATTCAATTATTGTTCTCTTGGTTTTCAATTGCAAATTTCTATTTAACATTTTACTTTATGGCAGGTGCAGTTAGTGCAAATGATTTAATTCCTCATAATGGTGGTTATTGGTTATTTACAATTTTCAATTATATTTGTGTTGCATGTTTAGCTTCTATGTTTATCATTTCAATGGGTAATAGACCTCAAGGTGCTACGCATTTATTTATTACTGCAATGGTTTTATTATCAATTTGTTCAACTTATGCATTGGTTTGTGGGTTATTCTTTGTTTTTAAAACAATGCATGAAAAAAGTTCTGGTAATGATGAAGTTACAACTGGTGTATTTATAAACATTGTTGTTTCATTATTATCAACTTATGGTCTTTATGCTATCATGTCTATCTTATATTTGGATCCATGGCATATTATTACTTGTTCTATCCAATATTTCTTATTATTACCATCATATACTTGTACATTACAAATTTTTGCATTTTGTAATACACATGATGTTTCATGGGGTACTAAAGGTGAAAATAATCCAACCAAATCATTAGGTACTGCCATTATTAAGAAAGATAGTTCAGGTCATGAAATTGTTGAAGTTGAAATGCCATCTGATCAATTAGATATTGATGGAGCTTATAAATCAACATTAAATAACATTTCAATTCAAAGATTAAGAAATAAACAACCTGAAAAGGAACCAAGACAACCAGTTTTAAGTGAAGATTATTATAGAGATGTTAGAACAAGAGTTGTTTTAACTTGGTTAATCACAAATTTGGTCTTAGTTATGGCAGTTTCACAAGTCTATTCAGCTACTGAAACTGCAACAAATAAATATTTAGCATTCATTTTATGGTCTGTTGCTGCCCTATCTGCTTTCAGAGCATGTGGTTCAACATGGTATTTGATCACCAAATATGCTCGTTCATTATTAGAAATGAAGCATAGATATGAAGATGGTGGTCATCAAAATTCATTTTCAATGAAAAGATGGTTCAAAAAATCTGATAAATAATTGATCAATAATTTGAATCTCATATAGATATACTGTACATTATTATAACAAAACTATTTAATATCCATTCGTTAGTTAATTTAATACATAAAAAGTCGATACCCAGGAAAACAAAAAAACAAATTGTAGCATAAAAACAATAATACTAGACTTCAACTTATCTTACAACTATTTTTCTATTAAACTCATAACTATTTTTTGATCATTGAAACTTAACTATACATAAATATTAATATTAAATCCGTATCTAATTTTGTGAAAATATTTTTCTTAATTAAAAACTTCTTAGAAATGGATTGCTTTACCAAAAGTAGCCATAGCACCTTCTTTGAAAGCTTCAGATAAGGTTGGATGAGCATGACAAGTTCTTGCAATATCTTCTGTTGAAGCACCATATTCTAATGCTAAACCAGCTTCAGCAATCATTTCACCAGCATTAGCACCAATGATATGAACACCTAAAACTCTTTCAGTTTCAGCATCTGCTAAGAATTTAACAAAACCATCAAAATCTTGATTAGTTTTAGCTCTTGAGTTAGCAACAAATGGGAATTTACCAACTTTGTAACTAATACCAGCTTCTTTTAATTGTTCTTCAGTTTGACCAACCCAAGCGACTTCTGGATGAGAATACATAACTGATGGAATGTTACCGTAGTTAACATGACCATGACCTTCAGTAATGTATTCAACGGCAGCAATACCTTCTTCTTCAGCTTTATGTGCTAACATTGGACCGAATGTAACATCACCAATGACTCTAATGTGTGGGTGTTTTGATCTGAATTCTGAATCAATAACTAAACGACCTCTCTTGTCAACTTCTAAATCTAAAACTTCAGCGTTTAAACCTTCAATATGTGGTCTTCTACCAACAGCGACTAATAAGACATCGGCATCAATAGATTCTTTTGTACCTTTTTTAACATCTTCAACTTCAATGTTAACAATATCACCATTTCTAGTTGCACTTGTAACTTTAGTACTTAATTTGAATTTCAAACCTTGTTTTTGTAAGAATTTTTGTGTAGTTTTAGCAACTTCACCATCCATTGAAGCACCAATAGCACCTTGGAATTCAATGACAGTAACTTCAGAACCTAATCTTGAATAAACTGAACCCATTTCTAAACCAATAATACCACCACCAATAATGGCTAATTTCTTTGGAACTTCTTTTAATGATAAAGCACCAGTAGATGAAACAATTCTTTCTTCATCAATAGTGATACCTGGGAATGGGGTAACTTCTGAACCAGTAGCGACAATGATGTTTTTAGCTTCTAAAGTAGCATCTTCACCACCTTCAATGGCGTTAACTTTAACGGTATGTTCGTCAACGAATGAACCTGAACCTTTATAATAAGTGACACCGTTTTTCTTGAATAAACCTTCAATACCAGAAGTTAACTGTTTAACAGAAGTATCTTTAGCTTTTTGGAAATTTTCAATGTTTAATTTAACATCACCAACATCAATACCTCTCTTTTGAGTATCATGTTTAATTGTGTGATATAAATGTGAGTTGTTTAATAAAGCTTTTGATGGAATACAACCAACGTTTAAACATGTACCACCTAAAGTACCTCTTTTTTCAATACAAGCGGTATCTAAACCTAATTGAGCAGCTTTGATAGCAGCAACGTAACCACCTGGACCACCACCAATGACGACTAAATCATGTTTTTCTGATTGAATTGTTAGTATCTTTATAAGCAGTTAGTTCTAATATCACAATACTCACTGGTAGCAGCATCAGCTAAAGTTCTGATAGCAGATAAATTTGTTCTTGCGATACGAGTGATAGGACGGCTGGTTATTGATCTAAGCATCTTCTCTGTGTTGAATCTATATGAATATTAATGGACTGGAAGGGGAGGTTCTCGAGTAATGTAAGAGCCAAAAGAAAGAGATCACCTAAGCACAAAATAACAATTAAAGATATATGATTTCCAAATACTTTTGAATGAAATGTTTTCGTTTTCGATGCCCTGCAATTTAATCTATACATTTACAAGAAGTAGTGCGCACCACCCATTTTTACCCGGATCCTTAAACGGTGAAGAGATACGCTTAATTGACAACGAAATGGGCTACAAAATGCGTATTTTTCCCAGGGAGAAGATCAGATCTCGGCAGAGACAATTACAGAGTACAATTCTTGTGTGTTTCAACAGGTATTCCACCTACAATTAACCACTGTTTAACCATTCTATTCATGCTCCGAATAGTAATCAAGTACAATAAGAATACCCACCGTGCACTCCCCACGGAAATCTTAGGCGGACTCAGTTTCGCTTTTCAAAAACAAAAAAAAATCGTGGGTGTCCTGTGTGCTCCGAATTCTGCCTATACTGCCTACAGAAATCCCATTCCCACAGGGGATCTCAGACGTTCGCGAAGGACTCGCGAGCACAAACACCCGTCGCCACCGAATGGCTGAATTATCTCCAAATCTCAGTTCCACAGGTAAGTTTCCCACAAAAAACAACAAACATCAACTGATTCACAAAAAAAAATTTAAAGAACACCGGAAAAAAAAAATTTAGTGTGCGGTGGCAATCAGAAAACCGCGGAAATTTGACAGTCTCAGATTAGGTAAGTTGTTAGTAAGTGGTATACGTATTATAGTTAACTCTATATTATTATGCATTTTTTTTTGATTTATGTACATTTAAATTGACTGATTTCATTTCAAATACTCATCTGCAATATCACAAACACAATCAACACCCCAATCAACTCTCTTTTGTTGCTTCTTACCATTAACAATATCACTACTTTTAACTTTCTCTTGTAAGAAATATTGTAATCCTCTCAACATGGCTTTTTGAGTTTCACATTTAGCTATTATACCAACAATTAAATTATCTTGAAATTTTAAATCACTAGCTTTAGATTTTTTAGAACCTTGACCAAATAATGAAACTTCAGATTTTTTACCAATCTTATCGAAAAATGTAACCATTAAAATTTCAATAAATAAACTTGTATCTGAATTGATTGTTAAGAAATTAACATTTTTCAATGAATGTAATGGTAATGAACCTTCTGCAATTAAAGCACCAAAGAATTTACCACTATTCAAAATTCTTTGTAATTGAAATTGATCATCTTGTCCAACTAAATCAGTATTTAAATTTTTAAAATAATCTTCATCTCCACTTTCATCATCTTCACCTTCAAGATCTTTTAAGAAATCCCAAAAACAAAATTGAAAAGTTTTTCTTAAACTATGTGATGAACATAATTTTATAGCTAATAATGAATAATAAGGATTTGAAATTTTTTCAATTGTAACACAATGTAATAAAATTTTTGGAATTTCACGTTCTTGACTTTTTTTCAATCTTAATTTATCTAATTTTGTAAATGCTTCAATATAATCTTGTGATGACATTATACTTATGAAAATTGCTCTTCTAATATCTGTGTTCATTCTTTGTGCTCTTGCTAATTCCATCCAATTTGGTTCTGCACTATCAATAATTTCATTCATTTCATCTTTATCATATAATTCTTCATCTTTATTACCATTAATACCATCACCACCATTTGCTAAATTCCCCTTCCATGCAGAACCAACTAACCACCATTTACCTTTAGTCTTAATATTATGAATATCATCTAATGAAACATGTAATGGGTCATGAAATTTATTATTATTAATTGTTGCTAAAACTTTCTTCATTCTTGTAATTAATTGTTGAGCAACTTCATTATTAAATCTTGATTTATTATTTTTTAAATTTGTAATTGTTTCCACTAAGAATTTAGTTCTTGTATTTGTTTCTTGTTTAGAAACATTAGCATGTAATGTAATTATAATATCTTTAAGTGCATTTGGATCATCATTTCTTAATTGTTGACCTGCATTCTTAACTAATCTTAATAATAATTCTGAATTCATTTCAGTAATCTCTTGAATTAAAATTTCAATAATATTATATAACAATTTACAACTAATCATTTGAAATGAATAACAAGCAGTCAATAATGTCAACATATTACCAGCTTCCTTGGAACGACCTTCTTTATAATGTTCTTCATATTTTTCCACTAATGTTTGTGTGAAATGTGCACCAAATTCAACACCTTGTAATCTATAAATTGCAGCAGCTAAAGCAGCATGTTGAATAACAAATTGATCTAATAAAGTGGCTTGTTGAACAATACTTTCCAAAACAACAGTGGTTAAACATTCTGTAACTAATTGTCTTGGACTTTCAGAATAAACTGAATTAATTTGATTAACAATAGTTAAAGTATTAGCTTCAGATAATTTATTTAATGGACCTTTGATTGATTTCTTAATTTTAGTAATTTCTTCAGAGTCACCAGCTTGTAAACGTTGACGTAATGCTGGTGGAATATATTTAGAAGTTGGTGCTACTGGTGCAATATATGGATTTTCCTTTGGTGCTGGTCTTAAAACATCACCTTCATCTTCATCTTCAGCTTCTGGATCAATATCTGAATCAAAATCAGATGAATTAATTTCATCATCTGAACTGAATGGATTATCAAATTGTTCACCATCTTCGTTATCATTATCATCGTCGTCGTCTTTGCCTTGATTAGTTGGTACATCTTCATCATCTTCTTCTTCAGAATCATCTTCAAGGTCACCTTCTTCTTCATCATCATCATAATCACCACCTGTTTCTTTATCATAATCATATTCATCCAAGAAATCAAGACCATCAAGTAAACTTCCAATACCATCATCATCTTTTGCTGGTTTCAATTTATTCCCTTTCAAACCTAATTTTTTAGCATAGTATTTAACATCTTCATCATATCTCTTGATCCATGCATCATCTTCTGGGGATATGAATCTTTCATATTTTTCTTCTTTTTCTTTCTCTGATGTTTTTTTATCTGATTTAGATTTTGATTCTTTAGTTGGTTTTGAGTCTTCTTTAGTTTTATTAGCTTTTGCAGCTTTAGCAGCTTTCAAAGCAGCCATGGTATCTTCAGCAGTTTCTGGTTCTTGCTTAGACTTGTTCGCTTTTGCTGCCTTTGCTGCTTTCAATGCAGCCATTGTATCTTCAACTGATTGAGGTTCTTCAGATTTTTTTGATTTCTTATCACTCTCATTTGAACCATTTGATTTTGCAGCCTTTTTAGCTTTTAAAGCCATCAATGCCTTCATTGTATCATCTGCATTCATTTCTTCCCCATCATCATCACCTTCCTCAAGGTCTTCATCACCTTCATCTTCATCGTCAAAATCGTCTTCATCAAAGTCTTCAAAATCACCTTCACTCAAACTATCATCTTCACCAAACGGTAAGGCATCATCACCTTCTTCATCTTCTAGATCATCATCAGAAAATCCACCAAAATCATCCTCATCTGCAGCATCTTTCTCTTTTGTTCCTTCTGCAAACTTAACACTCTTTTTTGAGTTTGATTTTTTTGGTTTTGATGCAGATTGTGTCTTTTGAGATTGAGGTTTTGATTTTGGTATACTCTTTTGTTGTGTTTTAGTCTTCTTTTTAGATTCCCTTTCCTGTTTACGCTTATCTTTTCTACTCAAATTAGTTTTTTGTTTCTTCTTGTAGTTTCCTTCACCAAATTTGAATCTGGAGGTATCATCACCATCACCATCTATATGTCATGTTAATATATTGTTTCTTAATTATCAACTACATTTAACTCACTTGAACCTTTAAGTTCATCTAGCAAAGTACCGGGTAGTCTGATACCGTGTCTCTCTTGATCTTCACGTCCTCTCTTTTGACCAGCCATCGTCTTATGGTTTTAGGAATGCAGTTAATTTATACTTTCAGTATTTTGACTTTATTTCAAAAGCTCATCGCTTATATAAATTTTTTTATACTGGACCGGTTTTCAGCAAAAACGAGCCGGATCTTAGGAACTGATATAACAAAATGTTAATTCCATGAAACTTATTGAATTTGAGTATTTTTACACTAAAAAAGCTCTTTTCAACTAAAAAAGTTAAGAAGAAGAAGAAATAGTGTGAAATGTCAAAACTTAGAGTTGATCTTAAACTTGCCACTGATATTGTGCTTGCTATCGGTGGTGCTGTGTCGGCATATTATATGGTTCACCTTCTCATGAATCAAGAAGGCCCAGCTGCTAAATCATCAGAAACTAAAAAGAAAGCCGATGCTTCATTGAAAAGACTTAAAGTGTTGAATCCGGATCTTAAGCTTGACTTAAATGATTATGAAAATGCTGTACTGGCCTCTGTTGTTACTCCTTTTGAAATAGATGTTAAATTTGATGGTGAGTATATAACAATTCATTTGCCATTATGTTTCAGAGATAAAACTAACAAATTTCTACAGATATTGGAGGTTTACAAAACATTATTGATGAACTACAGGAAAGTGTTCTTTATCCATTAACATTGTAAGTATAGATTTTCCAATAGTCAAATAATTATATAATTATATACTAACTGACTCAACAGACCTGAATTATTTACACATTCACCATTATTACAAGCACCAAAAGGTGTATTACTATATGGACCACCAGGTTGTGGTAAAACCATGCTTGCAAAAGCCCTTGCAAAAGAAAGTGGTGCAAACTTCATCTCTATTCGTATGTCATCAATCATGGACAAATGGTATGGTGAATCAAATAAGATGGTTGATGCTGTTTTCTCATTGGCAGCCAAACTACAACCATGTATTATTTTCATTGATGAAATTGATTCATTCTTAAGAGAAAGACAGTCAGCAGATCATGAAGTTACTGCTACTTTGAAAGCTGAGTTTATGACACTATGGGACGGATTAACATCAAGTGGGAGAATCTTAGTGTTGGGTGCTACTAATAGGCCAAATGATATTGATTCAGCATTTATGAGAAGAATGCCAAAGAGATTTTCTGTGGGGTTGCCAAATATTGAACAAAGAACCCGTATTTTGAAAATTCTGTTGAAAGATACTGAAGTTGATGAAAAAGAGTTTAATTTGGACCAATTAATATTGAGTACTGATGGATTTAGTGGTTCAGATTTAAAAGAGATGTGTAGGGATGCTGCATTAAATGCTATGAGAGACTATATCAGACAAAATATCAAGAATGGTAAAAAAGTCACAGAAGGTGATATCAAAGTGAGACCGTTGAAGAACTCTGACTTTGCTGGTACATTGAAGAACACGCTCACGACGGCTTCAACCGCTGAGTTTTTAGAACCATCTGCTTTAGGCTAGACTGTACATACTATTTAAACAACTGAACATATATTTAAATCTGAAGAATTGTTGTAGAAATATTCGCGTGTTGATGTTTTGTTTTGGAGATCGCGCGTACATACTTTTTAATTTTCATGTAAACAAAAACATTGTTGATATCTGGAAACCCACAGTGATCCAAGGCATAGTACATCAAGACTCAAGAGACAATCATAACATGGCCACCGAGGGCACAACTCATCTATTGAATCAACCGATTGTCATTGATAATGTGAGCTTTTTCTTCAGAAGTTTCCTCTGCCTCTTTTGAACCGTTATACTAACATTGATATAGGGATCTGGTAATATAAAAGCAGGTTTTGCAGGAGAAGAAAAACCTAAAGCTCATGCTCCAGCTATGTAAGTATACTTCCTGGTAACAGCATAGATCAAATGCTAACATTCAAACAGACTGGGATGGCCTAAATACTCAAAAGTGATGGCGGGTGCGCTTGAAGGTGATACATTCATTGGAAACAAAGCTCAAGAGAATAGAGGTCTTCTAAGGTTAAGATATCCAATTGAGCACGGTATCATACAGAATTGGGATGATATGCAAAAAATATGGTCTTCTGTGCTACAAAATGAATTGAAAACAAGTCTTGAAGATCATCCTGTTTTATTAACTGAAGCACCATTAAACCCTAAAAGACACCGTGATAAATGTGCACAAATTTTCTTTGAAACTTATAGTTGTCCAGCTTTATACATGTCAATCCAAGCAGTTTTGGCTCTTTATGCTTCAGGGAGAACCACAGGTGTTGTGCTTGATTCAGGTGATGGTGTCAGTCATTCAGTCCCTGTGTATGAAGGGTTTTCATTACCAAATGCTATAAAGAGAATAGATGTTGCAGGTAGAGACGTTACAGAACAATTACAATTATTATTACGTAAAAATGGTTATTTATTACAAACAAGTGCTGAAAAGGAGATCGTTCGTTTAATAAAAGAAAAAACATGTTATGTATCAATTGATCCACAAAAGGATGAAAAAGATTGGTACTCATCATCATTTGGATTTGAAACTTCACAAACTACAAACAAAAATGTTGAATTATATAAACTACCCGATGGGAAAACTATTGAAATTGGTGCTGAAAAATTTAGATCAGCTGAAATATTATTTCAACCTGAGATTATTGGGTCAGAATTTCCAGGGATTCATGAAATGGTTTTCGATTCTATAGGGAAAGTTGATTTAGATTTAAGAAATTCATTATATCAAAGTGTTGTGTTGAGCGGCGGTACTACGTTATTGAAAGGATTTGGTGATAGATTAATCAATGAATTGAAAGTAATGACACCAAAGGGGACTAAAATAAAGATATTCGCACCACCAGAAAGAAAATATAGTACATGGATTGGTGGATCAATTCTTGCAGGGTTAAGTACATTTAAAAAAGTAAGTTATTTTCTTGTTAAGTGTCTTATGTTATTAGTTTACTAACAATATATCTAGATGTGGGTAACAAAAGCTGAATGGGAAGAAAATCCAGATTTAATTCATACTAAATGTCTATGAGAATACGAATTTGTTATAAATAAAAGATTAATAACTCATGATTATAAATGCATTGCTATAGAAATCAAGCTTTTTTTTGTAATAGACTTGTATCTAAATACAGTAATATCTGTCACCAAAATCACCTAAACCTGGGACTAAACGTTTTTTGTCATCTAATTTATCATCAATACCACCAGTGATAATTTTAATGTTTGGAAATTTAGCATGATAATTTCTGATACCTTCTGGACTTGTTAACAAGTTTAAGAATAAAATTCTTTCTTGTTTAACACCTCTTGAGATCAAGACATCAGTAGCTAAGATTGCACTACCACCTGTAGCTAACATTGGATCTAATAAGAAAACATAACGATCAGCGATATCTTCTGGTAATTTTTCATAAAATAATTTTGGTAAAGCAGTTTCTTCATCTCTTTGAATTAAAATTTTACCAATTCTAACAGATCTACAACAATCTCTTAAACCTTGTTCCATACTTTCACCTGCTCTAACAATTGAAACACCACAAATTTTACCTAAAAATCCAACACCTTCATAATCAACATTCAATGGGGTTGTAACAGTATGCTTTTCCACTGGTAATTGATCTAAACCTCTTTCAACCAATAAACGAATAATACGATCAGAGTAAAAGACAAAATCTGAACGATGTGTATCTTTACTTCTAATGATTGAGTACAAACCTAATAATTGATTGGTTTGTGGTAATAATAAAACGTTTTTTTGTTCTTCTGGGGCTGACATTGCTGAAATAAATCCTTGATCTAATAAATTAAGTGGTTATCTCGAAAGATCAGAAATTCCTGGGGTTAAAAGCTAATATATAAACTTCTATTATCAAAGAATCTGATTTTCTACACATAAAAATTTCTTTATCAGCTCATCGCACAAAAAAAGCTAAACCCGTCGGCTCGAGATGTCATCATGGTGTACGGATGTACAGCTTATAAGTAATAAATCAATCTTATCAACGGGTTTTTAAATAAAGACACTTATCGAACTAGTGGAAAGCTTTTTAGTTGTAGCACGAATAGGCATTGACTAGCTCCATATATTCAATTCTTTAACATGTTTTTAATGCTCGACATATGCTGTGTATAGATCACTAAATGCTAAAATACATTTTAGCCTAAAATCTTAAATCAAGGTAATTACAATAAAATTTTAACGGGTCATATCATACATTTATTCTTCTTGAGGTTGCACAAATGGGTTTTCAATAACTTCTGATCCATCAACTGGGGCAATTGTCAATAATAAAGGTCCTCTAACAACAACTAAACCAAGATCTCTAGTCTTATCTGTTAAAATACTTTCATCTTCTGGGTCTATTATAATTATGTTAGTATCCTTTATTCTTATAGTCACTCTTTATATTAAACCAAAGTTGTACTTACCTCTTATTGTTTCTTTAACGTTATCCAATACAAGATTCAATAATGGATCGAAACCTTTCAACACACCGGTCACTGTATTTTGTTAGTTCACAATTCTTTACAATGCTTCTATCCTAAGCTTTAACATACCTTGTCTACCATGTGTAAACTTAACACGTATTTCTTTATCTTGATACTTGGATATTTCTAGTATAAGATCCCTTTTTGGTCCATCTTGTTTTTCTCTTTGTTGATTTTGGTTTCTTCTTCTACCTTGTTGATTTTGCTGTTGATTTTGATTCTAATTGATAAGGTTAGTGAATGCCCAATTACTGTTACTAGAAATATTGACATACCTTTTCACTCATCTTGATATATTTTTTGGTGGTTAAAGTTAAACCAAAATCACTTCAGTCTTCTAGTTCATGTCAGATTATACCTCTCTTCATTTCTTCATCGGAAATTCGCGACATCATTTATCAGGAGGGTAAACTTCGCGCATTTTATAATTTAGTGCATAAACTTCAGGCGCGTTACATTGTTGACATTTCAAAAATTTGATCAATATGTAGTTAGTGAATTGTGCTTATAGATTCCCTCTATTACTGTTCCCAGAAACATAGTGTATTCAAAATTACCAATTCTATATACGAAAAGTCACGTATTGTTTCACTATACCCTAGATCAATATGAGTGATATAACTGTTCAAGTGACATCAGCATTGACAAATTCTGAGAGAAGAGTCTCCACAAATTGGACCTTAAAATATTTCAAACAAAGATTAGAAACTATAACAGGTATTCCACCAGAAGATCAACAATTACTTCTATTCATCAACACATTTTCGACTGATGGTAAAGAAATCAAAGGATCTCAAGGTCAAACTGATGATTCAACTACACTTGATCAATTTCAATTCCAAGCACATTCAAGAATACAAGTGAACGATACAAGACCTGAATCTGAACTTAATGACTTAAACAACGAGGAAGGTGGTCAATTTTTTGAATTGAAAGACGAAGATTATGAAAAAAGATCAGACTCTATAAGAAGATGGAAACAAGACAATAAATTAGGTAGATTTGACCCAGCTTTTGAAGCTAAAAAAGAAGAAATTCGTCAATCAAATGAATCAAAGGCTAAAGAATTGAAGGAAGGCTCAAGATTTCGTACAGTCAATGATAAAGATGGGGAAAGAAGAGGTGTTATAAGGTATGTTGGTAAAGTTCCTGAAATTGATCCAGACTCTATATGGGTTGGGGTTCAATTTGACGAACCAGTTGGGAAAAACAATGGTTCCATAAAAGGAGTGTCATATTTCACTGCTAATCAAAATTATGGGGGATTCTTGAGACCTGTACAAATTGAACAAGGTGACTTTCCTGAAAAATCCTTATTTAGCGATGATGACGATGATGAAATATAAGGTAATTAATGATTTCTAGTTTAGGAAATTACACGATAAGCTTTAATAGACACTATTGATCTGTATCACTTATAGCCACACTTTGCCCAAAGTACCATTATTAATTCTGTTCGGTAGTAATCCGGTATCGAGTAACTTTGATCTACCGTTGAAGATGAGAAGATTGATATTTGTGGTGTCTGGGTTTCCTATATCACCGTTTTATCCATTTTGGTTCTTTCCGAAATAAAGTTCGCATATTTGTAATGAAGTAAACAATCGATTACTCTTAGAAGTAGCGATCACAAATTCATAAAAGCTCTCATTTGGAAATCACCAATCAGTCAACATATTCTCTTTTAGATTGTCACGTTGATATTCCTTCAAAAAGTCTTGCATATATAAACATCTCAAAATCAACCAAAATTCAACGTTTCGGTATTCATTAATAATTAATTTTTGCAGTAAAGAATAAACATCACACTATAAACAAAACCACAAAGATGTCAGAAGCTGCTCCAATTCAAGCTCAATACCACAAGTATATTGAAGCTATCATCCCTTACATCCCAGCAACATTGAGGGAAATTGATATCCATAAGGCTATTAGATTGGTTGTTATTATTGGTGGCTACATTTTCATCCGTAATATCGCTCAAAAAGTTTTAGCTAACCGTCAATTAAAACAACAACTTGCACAAGATGAAAAAGATAGAGATCAAGAAAGAATAAGGGAACTCGTTGAAGATCCAAAAGCTAAAACCACTGCTACTGAAAGTGGATTTGGATGGGGTAAGAAAACTAGACGTAATATCAAATTACAAGAAGAAATTTTGAAAGAAACTTTAGAAAAACTCGAACATCAAGATGATGATAGTGATAAAGATATTGAAGATTTGTTAGAAGATGAATGATCCTATAACAACAGGTCTGTTTCGCTGCTAATAGTTGCTGGTGGTTTATTATAATTTATAATTTTAATATGGCTTGTCGTTAAATGTAGCTCAGAGCTAATCGATATATACGTATAGTAAGCGTTTTTTTTAGAGAACGTGTTTGAAGTTCAATTTAAAATACGTTATAAAACAACTTTCATCATTGAACGATGTGATATTCTAGACTCTGATATCCAGAATCATTCACCTGTAAGAAAATTCTTTGATTCAACGTACGTTTATACTCGTTTATTGTTGTTTGAATTGTTAATACTGCTCACAAAAATTCAAAAAATCTGCCAATTTTCACTGTGTCCAGAATTGAATGGCTTAAAAATTTCCTCTATAGTAGTAGCTCATCTAGTAATAAAATAAACATCAACCCCAATAGCTTCTACAAACCTTGTAAATAAGAGATGAGTTTCGGAGGAAGAGGCGGTGGAGGTGGATTTCAAAGGAATCTACCCTTTGGTCTAGATTACAGTGATCTTAACAATGGTAATAAAGAAAATGAAAAACCAGTAAGTTTTAATCAACAACTTAAATGATGATCCAAAATAAATATTAACTCGAACTTTAGCAAATACCCTTACCTGTTAACGGTAACTCATCAAAATTAGAAAAGATTGTTGCTAGTCATTTTCTAAACTTCCAAACAACTGTTAAAGATGGTCCATTTTATACTGGTTCAAATTTAGAAATAGAGAATACAAAAGGTAAAACTGAAATAGATGAAGAAGGTATCAATGATGGTTTAAAGAGATACTCAGATAGATATAGAAAGAAGCGTAAAATAGGGAGATCTATTGACGAACATCCATATGTTATAGAGTTTTTCCCACAAGAGTTATATAAAGTCATGGGAGTTGATGACAAAAAGAAGAAAAAATTATTATCATTAGCCAAATTAAAGAATTCAAAAGAAGTTTTAGACAATTTAGACAACCCAGCTATTGGAGAATCCATCTTAGAGAAGCTTAAGGATATGGCTGAGGATGAAGATGATAAAGAAGAACCTGACCCTGAACCTGAAGAGAACTTTGACGATGAATTTGAATCAGATGATGATGATGATTATAACGCTGAAAAATATTTCGAAGATGGGGATGATTTTGCTGAAGAAGATGATTTCAATGATGAGGCCGCTTTTTGAAATGGACCTTAATATTTAAAATTATATAATTTAAAATTAAAATGTACAATAGTTTCGATGATCTACAATTGTTAAATTTATACTTATACAATGAATTGTCTATTAGTGTCCTGTAAACTAATGTTCAACGAGGAGGAGGTGGTGGTGGTAAAGAACTTTTGAAACGTGTTGGAGATGTTCTACCAAATGATTGTTGTTGTTGTTGTGATTCTTTCATTGATCTTTGAACAAAGATATCGTATGGTGTAGGTGCTTTATAGCCATCTAATAATATATCATCATCTTTGGAAGATGTTACTCTATTATCATAATTATCAATTTCTGTTCTTTTACCAATTGGACTGGGTATTGTATTAGCATCATATGGTAAACTCGTAAGGTCTAGTTTTGTAGGGCTGCTGTTACCACTTTTATAAAAATTACTTGGTGCTTTGCGTTCTGGACTTTTTCTTCTTGGTGGTGATATAGGTATACTAGTACTTGGTTCAATAACATTATAATGATTTATAGATGAATTGTTTAGTGACCCTGAACTATGTTGGGGAGGAGGTGGTGGTAATGATCCAGATGATAGTGTATGAAACTGACTATGTGTTGGTAATGCAGGTGGTCTGGTATTTGCTGGTTTATGTGTCTTAATATAATCGGACTGAACTTCTCTTTCAAGCTCATCAAATGAGTCTGTAATTCTTCTTTCTTGTTGAGGGCTTTTATTGCCGAATATTGGAATATTATACTTTGAAGTTAAATTTTTGGCAAATTGTTTGAGATCTGTTGTCTGTCTTTGTCTTCCAGGATCTAGAGAAGTTGGTTCATCATCGGCAATAACATTTGGGAAGGTGGATGGTTCACTTCTTGGTGGTGTAATATTTCTAATTGGAGGTAAATCTTTATTAATATGATTTTGCATGGGAATATCAGGTAATGAGCTCACAGACATTTGCGATTGATTGAAATCTGGTTGGAATGGTGGACGGAAAGAATCTGATTTATGGAAATTTTGTTCAAAAGGTTGGTGATAGGTGTTTGAACGTGGAAACTCATCAATTTCCCTATGTGACTGACTTGATTGATTGAATGCATCAAAGCCAACTACTTCTGATGCGATTCTTGGTAGCGGTGGAGGTATTGAGTTTAATGGTTTGAGTTCTGGTTCTGATACTTCTTGACCTGGAATAGCTGGTAGATTTCTTCTCTTTGAACTTGTACTCTGTATAGATTTTCTCATAGAACTTTTTGAAAAGCCTGATACAGCAGGATAGAATGTCATTTCTAGATAAATTTCACCAGCATCTTTATGCCCTGCCTTCAATTGATGCCATAGATCGAATCCTTCTTTAACAGATGAATAAAATACTGGAGTGAAATCCACTTCTCCTTCTGAAACCAGCACTGGAGCCTTTTTAGTCTCATCTAACACAGAAAGCTTCAATATAGGCTGTACCTCGGGAGTTATGTTGAATCTAAACTCACTATCCCATCTTGGATTTTGACCACCTCTAATATCTACCTTTGTTTTATCGGTCAGATTTGATATCCGTAATAGACAATAAGGACTCTGTTTTTCCATTTTTCTGCGGTTGGGTAGATCTCTTGCTCTACTGACCACTATGATCAGTGTACCAGTATTCCCTTGAAAATGTGACATAATCTATTAATCTTGTCTAACAATTCTTATGTCGAAATAATTGTAAAACACGACTTTAAAATTTAAATCAAGAAGTTTGTTGACAAATTTGATAAATTTGTAAACAGTGAAATACAGTCATGTGACCTTGGTCCGAAAAGTAAAGTTCTACGCTAAGCCGACAAACGACTACAATTATAAATAGATTAGTTTAACTTCGACATCAAAATCATTAAAATCGTTACTTATTTAAGCTCTTGGATTATTCATAGAATCTGTTGAAAGTATTCCAGATACTCTTTCCTGTTTAACATATAATACTCTTCACTCGACATCCCGATTGGAATTTTAGGTGGTAATACTGGTCTACCTTCAGTATAAACAGCATCGGATAAACGACCTTTACCCCAAGTTCCATCACCTTTATAATCAGAGACACCATTGTCAACCCTGAAATCGTCTCTTTTGGCTCTTCCTTGCTCTAATCTGTTCATTATTGCAAAAGCACTTGGTGAAAGTCTCTCATAAGCAGCTTTCGCTTCTCTTCTCTTTTTTCTTTGATCTTCAGCTTTAACCTTTTCCAACTTGGTTACAACTGTACTACCTATCGAATCCGCAGAAAATGGAAGGCTGTTGAGATCTAACTCTTCTAATTTGGAACTCTCTATTGAATAAACGTTGACTTCTGGTTCTTCTAATCCTTCTGGTTCTTCATCTCTATGTATAATTTCTTCATTGTTTAATTTATCTTTTGGTGAGTTATTAACCTCAAAGACTAAAAGCTCGTCATTTGTCATCTTTTGAAGTTGCTGTTCCATTTCTGTTTCCCTCAGTGATATTCTTCTCTCATATCTTCTTTTAACCTTACTGGCAAGTTTCCTTAGTCTTGTTTTTTCTTTTTGATCATCAACAAATACACTATCCACAGAGGAGATCTTTGGTTTATTGACAGTTACTGTTTCAGTTGGTGAATTTGGTAATGGATTCTTTACTGGGACTGATGGTCCTCTTGTGGGTTGTTTATGAGGTAACATTGGTGCAACTTGGTAAAACGTATACTCTATATTGATTTGACCTGTGGGAGGCACTTTTGTCCATTTATCAACTTTTTTCTCATAGAATATATCAACAAGATCAAGTTCACCTTTTCCTAGAACTTTGGGTAGACCTGAAGTTCGTTCCAAAATATAAATTTTAAGCAAGGGTGTCACTCCAGGATCAATATCAAAGCGACATTGTGAATCTTCGTTCCATTTGGGACTTATATGTTCTTGTAACTGTGTAGTTTTGGACCTGAATGCTTTATTATCAATTTGAAAAAGACAATAGATTTTTGAAGATGACTTTGTGGTACATATGTTTCTTGCTTCTATGGGATCAACAACCAACACACCTTTAGCAGAATTAAACTTTAATGGCATTTCTTAAATTCCACGATCTATGTTACCAAATTCGATACAAAGAGCAGAAGCTATGATTAATATACTTCTTCAAACTGATCTTATTCAATATTAGCCTCGATTTTAGAGTTGATCACTGATCATGTTCCTGATGCATAAGCCTGGTTTTTTTCATAGATCCAAGCCTTTGTTCACAAACGTTTTGTCTATATTTAGTTATTGTTTAGGGCACATTCTGCCAAAACACTCACGGGTTTATATAGATGTATATAACGACTTAAATTTATACGTGCTACGTTAGGATATCATAAATATCAGTAGTATGTTATTAGCAAATCAATATAAAATATAATTGTGATAATCACCATCTAGACTTTTTTACCAATAGCTCTTTTCATGTTCGAGATATTCTCTCTAGCAATGGTGAATGATGATTTAGAGAAGATATCATCGATTTCTTCCAAGGTTTTACCTTTAGTTTCTGGCATGAAGAAAACTTGATAA